GTCATACACAAACCCAGCATTCCTGGATCTACTTGACATAGTGTTCTGAAAACATGGATTGTGACACCCGAGACTGAAACGTGCATAAGCTTCTGTTTCCCTATGCATGTGACAAAAGCTGTGAACTTGTCGTTTTGCAGCTTATTGTTAGAATAATGTGGTCTATTTGATGAGAAGTGATTTACGCAGCAGGTAACTAAAAATAATACGTGGCAGGTAAGTTGATGTTTGATACTTTGCATGTATGACACTTTATCAAGGGCTTAGAAAATTAGAAAAGGGCAAAAGAAACATGAGGACACTGCAAGTCGTGTCATGGGGATTGTGACAGGACAAGTGGATCTCACATGGAGAGGTTTGGTTTCCTGAGTGTGTTTCATTAGAGAATGGGAAGAGGTGGGGGGTCCCTCAACAAAGGTTACATCTCAGCAGCAATCTCACCTGGCTGGCACACTGTCAGTGTGCTTGCTTCTCATAACAGTGTGTACACACAATGAGTAAGGAGAGCTTTTCTCTATGTGAGGTGTGTCTCGCAGAATTCTGAGGAGTCATTTTACTACTTTTTTTTCCTCCCTGAACACGTAACAGAGCTGGAGCACTGACTTGTGCTCCTCTCGTATTTTCTCAGTTATCAGCTAGATAGAATTAGAGAAACCAGTGACACAAATCTGAGGAAGAGGCTTTTTATTTAATGCAGATCCATTGATGATCTGGAAGAAAGTTTAATATTAACCATATACAAAATAGTAGGAAGCAGGGCAGGTGATTACCCAGGTGGAATACAGGTTTTTGGTACAAATTCTGGGAAGTTCAGAATTGGAACATGTTTTCTTCTGTGTTGCTTTTTAGCAATGCTTTTGTCTGCTGGTCAGCTTAAGCATCAGTTTGGATGACCCAGGGGAGCATTCATTGCTATACCTGAATAATTCTGTCTAGATATGTTTCTGTGACACAAAGGACACTGTTAAGTGAAAGCTAGTTTTCTCGTCCCCCTCATCTCGGAGAAATCGAATATCATGTAATAACACTTAATGTTTTTGTTTTCCATGAATGTTTTCCATCTCATAGCAGTGTAGGAAGTCCTGGAGTTAATAGTCAGAAGAGTGCTGCAAGATTAGGGGCTGAATATCTCCATTTCCTAAACTGAGGTATGGAAAAAGAACTTGTGGAAGTTTGCAAAGAACAGACAGCAGCTGGCTGCCTTCAGTCAAAAGGCTTCTTTCCTACTTTCCTCTGCAACGCCGACAAATGAGTTCCCGAAAAGCCAATTTGCAGTTTTTGGCACAAACGGCACTGTGCCTGCGCTGGCGGAAAGGATGCAGACAGCACGCAGCTACGTCTTCGTTTCTCTGAGTAGGGCAACTTCTATGCTTGCTGCTGTAGGTGGCAGTGCGCTAACAGGAGGATGTGTCCTGTCCCGGGCGGTGCTGGTGGAACCCTCTGAAAAAGCGTGATCGTAAACCCCGCCTGCCTTCCGGTGGAGTCCAATGGAGAGCAAGAAGCTCCTCAGAGAGCTGCCTGCGAGGTCTGGAGAGCAGAGGGGTGCTCAGGCACCAGTTGGTTCGTGGAACCTCTGCTGCAGTTTTATGAGCTATTGCACAGCTCCCTGAAAACATTTCTGGTGGTTACAGGTGTTGCTGCATGCAGTGCCAGGTAATAGAATCATAGAACTGTTTGAGTTGGAAGGAACCCTTAAAGGCCACCTAGTCTAGCTCCCCTGCAGCGAACAGGGACACCTACAGCTCCATCAGGGTGTTCAGAGTGCCGTCCAGTCTGACCGTGGATGTCTCCAGGGATGTCTCCACCACCTCTCTGGGCAGCCTGTGCCAGTGCGTCACCGCTCTTACAGTAAAAAAGCTTCTTTCTTATATCCAATCTAAATATCTCCTTTAGTTTAAAAGGATTTTCCCTTTTTCTATCACCACAGATCCTGCTAAAGAATCTGTCCCCTTCTTTCTTACAGCTCCCCTTTAGATACTGAAAGGCTGCTCTCAGGTCTCCTTGGAGCCTTCTCTTCTCCTGGTTAAACAGTCCCAGCTCTCTCAGTCTGTCCTCATAGGGGAGGTGTTCCATCCTTTAGGTCATTTTTGTGGCCCTCCTCTGGACACACTCCATCAGGTCCGCATCTCTCCTGTACTGAGGATTCCACATCTGGATGCAGTACTCCAGGTGAGGTTTCAGAGCATAGAGCAAAGGGTCAGGATCACTTCCCTTGACCTGCTGGCCACGTTTCTTTTGATGCAGCCCAGGATGTGGTTGGCTGGCATTTCATTTTACATTAAGTTATTGGCAAAAACTAGATTTGAGTCTTTTGGATGGTTCCTTAAAAATATCAAAGTCTCAAGGGATCACACAGCGGCCTGAAAAGCTCTCGACTCCCTGTCTGTTTGTGCTGGGTCCCTCTTTCCCAGCCTCCAGCTGTTCCCAACCAGGGCAGAGGAGCTGCTTTGGTTATCACCTCTGTTGAGATGTGGATTGGGAATTTGGCTTTCTACTTACACCAGCAATTAGGAGGCTGTCCTGAGAGGCCAAGTGTCAGACGCTATTTGTAGGAGTTTGTGAAATGCAAAGGGAAAAAAAAGAGGCAGAAATGAGGTCTCACCAGCAGGGCAAAGCTGCAACTTCTCATAGATTCTAAAAGAAAATAGAAGAGCAGCCTCAATTTGGATGAAAATGTGGAAGGATCAGACAGGGCATTGTAGCTCAGCTGGCAGGGGCATTTTGCGTGGCTTGAAAACTGCACTACTCCTCATCATTTTTTTTTTTCTAGTGAAGCCTAAATGTTAATGCTGAAACAAGCTGCTGTCATGCATGTAAGGTGTTCTGCCTTTCCTCAGGGGTTGTGCTGCTGCTCTGGTGGGAAGAATAACACAACAAGCTCGACAGGCTTTGTGTCTGCTACAGCTTGTACCAATACAAAAGCAGCAAGACAGTGTGCGCATGGTATCACAGCAATTGCTGCCTGTGCTGAAGATGGCTGGCTGGGGGATAATTTCTGTGGCACTGGGGGATGTCTGAGGAAGCAGGGCTTCATCTGCAGCCTCTGCCTTCAAGTTTGCACTATAGAAGCCTCTGGAGCCTTCTCCATTTTAGACCCACCTCCCACCCTGCTGATCTTCACTGCAAAGCCAGCAAGGGTGACTCAGCAGAGACGTGCTGTGTGTCTCATGAAGCATGAATACTGTGCTTGTGATATTTGGGCATGATGGGTTAGTGAGGTCAGTACTGCCGGCCCTCCGCCATCCTGGCCCCCATAGTACAACTTCCTCCCAGCCTGGGAGGAGGATGTGTGGCTTGGGCTGGAGGGACAACAAAGTTAATGCTTTTCTTCCTCAGTCAAACACCAGTTCAAACGCTTTCTTCTCCAGGAGCCAGAGGGGTGTAGATAAATCTTCTGCTTTGTTCCTCACAGCTGAGGTTCTGGCTGTGGCCTGTCCCTCCTGGGTGGGTAGGAACTGGGACTGAATGCTCATTGAGAAAGACTCCATGTAACTGTGAGAAGAAAATGGCCATGGCTCATCCTGCTCAAACCCGGGTCACCCTTGGTGATATGTACCTAGCTCCTTTTTTTTTTTTTTTTCCTCCCATTAAAACTTTTTTTTTGTTTGTTTGTCACCAGCATTTACACAGCTGAGAGGTACCAGCACATCCTCAGGCTGAGGTGAATGCAGATGTGGCTGGTGACCTCAGAGCTGGCCTCCTGCAGGGTGGCAGGGACACCTTGCTTCTCAACCTTCCTGATGGATAAGCCAAAGTCACACCTGGGCCCATCCAATCCCCCTCTTCACACCATTATAGAGTGGTTGAGGTAAGAAGCCACCTCTGGAGGTCGCCTTGCATAATCCTGCTGCTCAAGGTTGTCCAGAACTACGTCCAGACAGCTTTTGAGTATCTCCAAGGAAGCAGGCACTTGGGGAAAGGTTTGTCTTGTCTGTGGCCTATAGGCTGGGCTCCACGTGCAGCTTACACTGGTGCAGGAGTCAGTTACCATCAGTGACGCTCCAGTCAGCAACCCAGTACTTGTTTGAGGGTGGAAGGACATAAATCTATTGGAGAGTGTCCAAAGGAGAACTGCGAGGATGGAGAAGGGCCTGGAGGGCAAAGATGTGTGAGGAGTGGCTGATGCCACTGGGTTTGCTCAGCCCAAAGCAGAGGAGCTGAGAGGAGGCCTCATGGCAGCTGCAGCTCCTTACAGGGAGCAGATGGCAGCGCTGAGCTGAGCTCTGCTCTGTGTGACAGCGACAGGGTCTGAGGAGATGGCGTGGAGCTGTGTCAGGGGAAGGGCAGCTGGGGGTTAGGGAAAGAGTCTGCACCGGAGAACGGTGGGCATGGCCCCAGTGTCAGAGTTCAAGGAGCATTTTCCATGATTTTGTGTTGTTCAAAAGGAGATTACAGCTGACACTGGGGAGAAGCACCGGTGGTGCATGCTCCTCCCTGATTCGGCCCTGTCCCTGCCCACAGGAGCAGATAATCTTTATCATAAGCAGGCAGAGACACATGCACAGCTCATGACTGTTGCTGGGCGTGTGCATGAAGAAGCTGGGCACTGGGGTACAGTCAGAAATGTTACAGATTTTTTTCCTCTGCTTTTACACCTAGGAATAATGAAATGCAAACATGGCTATTTAAATAATCATATTTTATTGTTTACTTAAATTTGAAAGCAATTAAGACTAGAAAAGTAGCTGAAAAAACTGTAATACACAATCAGAAAAAATGAGGACCTGAGTCTATAAACACTTGATGTGCAAGCAAACCCAAGTCCCAATATATTCACTGGCTTCAGGACTCTAAATTCTGCTTAAAACTGTGCCAAATCCTTGGTCCAGGGACCAACAGTACTGTCCTTTTAGTTCTGGACAACATTGTTTGTACATGTACATCTACAGATATATGCATACAACGCATACTTACATATATACATTCATTTTAGCTCTGGGCAATATTCTATGTACATATATGTACGTACGTAGAAAATGCATGTATACAATATGTACATATATATGTACATGTATTTGTGATACATGTGCATCTGTGTGTGTATACAGCATATACATGTAAGTGCTTTTGCTCTGCTATCCATAGTAAACACAATTTGGGCAGACAAGGACCAAGAAATGTACAAAGCATAGGGAACAAAGGAACTAAAATCCAAACCCAGGCTTGACTTCTGCACCTGACCGTGATCACTGTCCTTGCCTTTCACCTACAGCTGCTTGCAGTGCCCTGGAGTGGGGACTGAAATTACCCAGAGGCAGCCACACCAAACCCAGGGAGGTGCACATCCTTCAGGCCCACCAGCACCATTCCTCCCCTAAGTCAGCCCTCACAGAAGTGCTGCACCATCTGCCATGCAGCTGCACTTCTCGGTGATCATGTTGGGAAATTCAGTTGCCTCAATCTCGGTGTGGTTGCCCCTCTGGACCAGGTACATGATAGGGAGTGGGGAGCTCTCAGCCACAGCACAGGCACGTTTCCTGCCTCCCCAGCGCTGCAGTGGGCCGGGAAGCTGCAGGCAGCCCCCCCGGCAGCTGTAAGCCTGGTATCCTGCTGGCTCGATGACCCAGTACTGTGTCCAGGAAAGCTCACGGAAGTTGATGTAGTGCTTCTGCCGGCAGCAGGTGGACTTTCCTGCCTGCACTCCATCCTTGCAGTCCCCAGGGCCCCTGTGTGCAATAGGAGAAATGTTAGCTAATAGGTAAGGCTGATGGCACAGCCCAGAGCTAGGAAGCTCAGACCACACTCAGGTTTCATTTGAAAATTCAGGCAACAAAGTGAGTGCAGTAATGTAGGGACAAAGCTGCATGGATGCAGGTTTCATACTCACCCATAGTCCTCCAAGTCAAGGGTGTAGAGCACCAGCTCAGGTCTTCCCACAGCTCTGTCCCCAGCATCCTGTGAGGTGAAGCGCACGGCCTTGGCAACCTCTGCAGCGTAGCTGCCCACCATTTCCCCTTCAATCCAGACCTGCAGGACCATTGGCTCCTGCCTCTTGTTCCGCAGCCAGTAATGCACAGCCTGGGTCACATCAAAGTTCTTCCAGCCAGACTCTCTTATGGGAACCAGCCTGCCAGGCAGAGAGAAGCCCATCATACAAAGTTCATGCTGCTTTTTTTGCTGTGGAATAATTTGCTTCCTGTGCGTTGTCATGTGCCTTGATCATACGTTAATGCTTGCTGAGCAGCTCTGGGCAAGTACTCACAGCAATTAACTATTTAAAACAATCGTAGAACCACAGGGATTGGAAGGGACCTCTGGAGATCATCTGCTTCAATTCCATGCTAAAGCGGGTTTCCTGCAGCAGTCACACAGGAAAGCATTCAGACGTGCTTTGGGCATCTCCAGAGAAGGAGACTCCACAACCTCTCTGTACCCACAAGGCATGCAAGGCTAACAAGCACTGAATGGTGAAATAAAAACCCTTGTGTCAAGGTATTTGTTCACACAGTGCAAGGTTATATGCAGTGCTTGTGTCACCAGCCAGCTGAGCTTCCAGAACTTAAAGGGAGCTTATAAACAAGAGTAAAATCAACCTTTTTATGGTCTGATGGTGATAGGACAAGGAGGAATGGTTTTAAACTAAAGAGGGTGTGATGAGTAGAATAAACTACTAAAAACCTTAAACTAAAAGGAGTGAGATGTGAGTAGAATAGATGTCAGGGGAAGGTTTTCACTGAGGGGGTGATGATTGCCTGGAGAAGCTGCGTATACCTCATCCCTGGAGGTGTTCACAGGCAGGTTGGATGGGGCCCTGGGCAGCCTGATTCTGTGCCTGATTTAGGGTCTTGCTACCCTGCCTGCAACAGGAGAGCTGGAACTAGATCATCTTTGAGGTCCCTTCCAACCCAAGCCATTCAGTGATTCTGTGATTCTATGAATCTATGATTGATTCTATGGTTCTATTAATAAAGATGCAGCCTATCATCTGGCACAGAAATGTGTCACTTCAATGCATCATTGCATATTTGCACCCTTAACCTACTGTCTGCTCTCATCAGCTCCACACTCCCCATCACCTACCTTGAGTCGATCAGGGAGGTCCTGTTTGTGCCATCATGCTGTCTCTGCACCCAGTAGATGCTGACCCTGGCATTGGAGACAGGCCGATGGGGCTGCCTGGCTGGCAGGTTCACCCTGTCCAGGGGCTTCTTGAAAAGCTTCAGTTCAGCCATTGTCACTTCACTGTTTTTTGGTATCCTTCCCTCCATGTCAAAGATGAAGTTCTGGCGCATGGGGTCAGAGTAGAAGACTTCTGTCCGTGATGTAGTGACAAAAAGACATGCTGTCATTGCTATCCTCTGCATTTCATCCACAGTTATCACAGCACATTGCTTGCATGCTCCAACATGATCCCTTGTGGCAGAGACAGCCCTTAAACACACTTTTTCTAACACATACTTAGTATCTTGTGAATAAACTAATTCCTCTAGATCTGAAACAGCAATGTGGGGACAATAGGAGGAAATCTCCTATATGTAATTATTCCTAAATAGAGCAAGCACCAAAAAGCATGTGCCCCTTTGTGCCAGTGCAGTGCACAGTATCAGAAAACCACACAAATTGCAACCATTTGCAGGTAGTTTGCCTTCTCTGCCCAGGATGCTATGTGGTTTTTCTATCACCCACCCTTTTCCAGGATCATGGGGTACATACACTTTTTCCACCCTGCTCCCCCTCAGAGCCTGACCCCAGCCCCACTCCCTGTGGCTTGCCCTGCCCTGGTGTTACCTGCATTGCCGGGGATCCCCTGCAGGATGCTGGCCAAGCTGGGAGAGGCACGACGCTTCCCCCTGTGCCGCTTCAGCATGGAGATGTACTTGTTCTTCACGTGCTCGGGAATGACCAGGTCCATCAGGTCCCTCTTATGAAGCTTAGGGACTTCAGAGAGCCCCAGCTGCTTCAGCATCACTTCCTTGAACCCTTCCTGGGTGAAGGCATAGGCCATGACAACCAGAGAGAGCACATAGAGCATCCGGGTGAAGCTTGCCTCCATCCTGCCTTTTTGGTGGCTCGCAGGGAGGAACGGGGATGTCAGCGGGGCTGCGATGCACTCGTTGGCTGTGGAGTGGGACAGAGGTTTTATAGCCAGCCTCATCCCACTGGCACAACAAATTCCACAAGTGGGGAAGAAGCAGGGGACTTAAAAGGCTCACCCCCGCCTCGATAGACACATGCCAGTTTAACACCTCCGCACACCACCAGGCTGACATGGGGGGCTTAGGGGAGCTTCCAGATTCCTGCACCAGGAAGACATTTCCCTGCTCTTTTAACTCCCTGTAAACTTCTGCCTAAAAATCCCCCGAGTGAGCAGCATCACACATCGATGGAGTTGCTGCCTGAAGTGGCCAGTATCTGTCAGGAGAATAAAGCTCCAGCAGAACATCTGCCCTTATGGTGGGCATTACAAAATAGCTTAAAATATCGGGGGGGAGGGCAGATCCCACTATGATCTCTGAATAGATGATCATAGCATTGAATGAGGTGGTTGGATGGGTTATGGCCTTTTACATTGCCTATAGATCACAGGGAGGTAAGCAGAAGCAGCACAGTCCTGGTATTTCAGATGTGGGCTGAATAATGCCTGTGCTTAAGAGCAGATGGCTTTATTTTCAGGCAGATGATCTCTCAGTGAACACAAGAAACCACTCTGCTTCTCCACAACCCCAACAATAATTGTTGGTGTTCTGAACAGTATCAAAAACCAAAAGAAAGCTTGCTCTGGAGAGTAAAGGTGAAGGGAGCCTGGGTGCAGGAGGCTGCTGTTTGCCTTGAGGTAATCTTAAAACCTGGAGCTCACATCCTTGACTTCCTTGGCCTTTGCTAGCATGTTTTTAAAACTGAGAAAAGGAGAAGATAATTGAAAAAATAAAACTTGAACAGTGCCATTCTTGAGGAACTCAGCATTTGAGACAGATTCTCATCCTTCTCCAGCAGGAACAAGCATGGGACGTCTGGATCATAAGTACAAAATACTGTCATTATCAACACAGATCTTTGGACTTCTTCTGTCTCTGTAAATGAGGAAGAAGCAGTTCATTTTCACCCAGCGTATGGGCTGAGTGCTGTGTCCTCAGGAAAGCGCGGCTGCAGGACCCAAAGTACTGAGCTCTTACAAAAGCCCCGGGTGCAGTTCATCTCCCACTGGAGGCAGTATGAGCTGAGGCAGATTTCCTGGGCAAGGAAGAGGGCAAAGCTTCCGAGAGCCTGACCGAGCATCTCTGGTACTGCCTGTTCTGCCTGTTGAGCCTTTTGTAGAAAATGTCCTGTAAACCTTTATCTTTACTCAATTTTTTCTTTACTCAAACGATTGGTCCTGCTGTATAGTGAGGGCTGCTCAAATAAATCTGCGTGTAAGAGATGATAACGCCTGAGAACACCACAGCACCCGGCACTTCTGGGTACAAGATGTGACGTCTCCTGCGGCTGATATCTGAACTACCAGGATGAAATCTCTTCCTTGTCTTATGTGTATTGGATGGTGATTTATGGACTTCACACATAAAAAAAATGATTGAGCAAATGCGGTGGAAGTTCAGCTAAGAAGAAAACAGAGGATGTGGATTGTAGGCTTTTCACAGGAGGGTGATTATCTGGTCCGATTGGTGGAGTTGGCATTCTCCCTTTGTCACACAAACAAGAAAAGGTCAGGAATTTTATAGTAGCTCTTTTTGGGTAATGTGTATTAGAGCCTCCATGGTGCATTCAGGGTGTCAAGCAGAGGATTTATGGGGGGCTGCAGGGCATGATGTCTGAGGAACTTACAGTTTTAATGGAAGCCTGAATGCAGTGAACAGAGAACCTCCATATTTAAGCTTTTAGGTAGTTTCAAACAGATCTCTAAGATACTTACTGGGCATATCTATGCAATGATTTTTGGTAAATAAATCTAACGAGTTAAAAGAGAAAGTGCGAAAGGTTTAGCCTAATGACGTGGCTATTGCCCTGTGAAACAGGAATGGTTCAAACACATTTGCAGTGCATCAGTGAGGATCTGATTTTCCAAGAACTGAATTCTCATGAACGTAATTCTGCTATATTACAGTTGGGCCCATACCAGAATGGCCTTTGCTTGAATGATGTGAAAGGCCACAGTTTTTGTTCTCAGTTGTTCAGCAGACTTTCTGTATAGAGACTGGAACATATCTCTGTCCTGACTTTGGTCTGCTTTGTTTGTTTTTTTTAAAACAAAATCAGTGTCCTTTGGGTCTAGAAGTGTGGTTACAAAGTAATGTTGAGATACAGGTACGAACTTGCCATGTTAAAGAAGAATCCGAGCAAAGGTTCCATTTCTGAGTCTTTTTCAGTCTCAAGTCCCCTCGTGCATGCGTGGCTGTAGGACAGCAATGCATTCCCTGCCAGGGAGGCAGTTCTGGGATTTGCTGTTGCCTTTATGCAAGTGGAGAACGGCAGCAAAAGCCTCGCTCTCCTCCTTGAGGTGTCTGGGCAGCACTGGGTGGAAATGGTTTGGTTCTGGTGGAATGATTGCACAGGGTCTGCTCAATGACACTAGCAGGATCTGCAGCTTCTTTTTTGAGGGTTTGCTTTCAGCCAGGTCAGCAAGTTGCTGTCATGTTACATCTTTTGGGTCATGGTACAGCTCTTCCCTACATTGGTAAATAGCAGTTCCAGTTCTCAAAAATGACAATGCAAGAAAATCTCGTGGTAAGCTCCTTTCTTCCTCAGAGGTGAGACCTTCTTCCCAAAAAACTGGAGGTGTACTACCACAAAAGCAATGAACAGACCACAGGGCTGTTATCTCATTTCTTGGCCACTTTAGCTCCGGACACTGCCAGCCACCAGCCTTGTCTAGAAGTGCTCTGATTTGCACAATACTTGTTTTTTGAAGATGCCTGATGACTGCTGAAAGATACTGGGAAGCTATCTCCCCAGGTTGGTGGCTTTCATTATTCCTCTACCACTAAGGACTGCTGTTTTTCCATTAGGGCAAGAACAGCTTGCTTAAAGAGCCAGAATAACAGCACCCAGGCCCATTTAGCTCATTGGAATTTGCATAAACGCACCTCACAATTCATCCTGTTGTGCAAAATCTGGAATGGAAAAGTTTTAAAAGACAGTTCAGCCTGGGTAAATGCAGTGTCCTGGTACCTGGGAACAAGCAACTCCAGGTACCAGGGCATGTTGGGACCTCACAGCTGTAATGCAGCTCTGCAGAAAAGGGCCCAGGATTTCAAATTGTTCTGGGCAGCAAGGCTAAATTGGCCATCTCCAATGAAAATGCCTTACAGGTCATGTCCTGTTGGGCTCCCTCATGCAAATGCTGCTGGTGAAGCCCCAGGCAGCAATGGCAATGGCATTTCCTTATGCCAGGAGTGCATTTACAACACAAAGTATCCAATATAGTAAAAACTCCATTTAATCTGGGAGAGAGGTTGCGAACCTGCTCTGATCTTAAGCTCAGGTACATAATTCCCATTACTATGATGCTATCCAACTCAGATCCCACTGACTTGCAACACATCTTCCTTAAGTAGGCGCCTGTATTTACCCATGGGCTTGTCCTGGTCAAACAGCCCTGACAAAGACATCTGTTTGAAGAGGGATGAATAAAATGTCCAAAGTCCCACCATGTTCTTGGACAACTGATGTCAGCTGGCTTGCTCACAGGTATGTGCTGGCAGCATTTGCAAAGTGCCAGTGTTCTGGCAGAAAAGAGCTCTCTGAGGTATTTTTTTCCTACAGAAAAGCAAACACAACTGTTTAAATACAGCTTTTTCTGTCCTTCCTGCAGCCTCCTCCCTGCTGTCCTCACTTGTGCTTTATTTGTAGCTGGGATATTGTGTTACCATTGCTTTGTAGGAACACCACATACTTTTCTAATAAAGGTATATGCTCTTTCTGAATGTTCTTTCTTCTTTTGCAGTGAAAAAGAGAATATCAGTCACTTTTTCCCCACTCAGAGAAAGAATGCTTTATTCCAGGGGCTGTACTTCATTACCAGGAGAAGGTGTAAAGGCAGAAAGATTATGAACTACATGTCAAATAAAGCTGAATAATTCGTGCTGCTAACTTTGCTGGAAGATGCTTTTCCTCTGCAGGCCAAACATGGAGATGAAAGGCCAAGAGGTGGGATATCTAAATCTAACCTCTTCTGTTACGCATGGTAAGCTGACATGCAAAATAGTAATGTGTTGGTTTAGTGCAAAAAAAAGAAGGAGAAGAAGAAAAAGAAGAAAAAGATAAGGAAGAAGAAAAAGAAAAAGATAAGGAAGAAGAAAAAGAAAAAGAAAAAGAAAAAGAAAAAGAAAAAGAAAAAGAAAAAGAAAAAGAAAAAGAAAAAGAAAAAGAAAAAGAAAAAGAAAAAGAAAAAGAAAAAGAAAAAGAAAAAGAAAAAGAAAAGAAAAAGAAAAAGGATGTTTCTTGCATAGGAAATCACACAGACACAAAACCCAATGTGAGATGAAAGACAAAATTAGACCATAGTTTGGACAGAGAGGACAAGATAGAACAGATAAATACTTTAGACTTCACTTATTTGATACATCTGATAAAGTGGAGTAATTGCCCAGAGATTTCCACTAGACTTCACTGAAATATTTAACACTAGCATGAACGGAGCCTTAGCAAATATGTTAGCAGAAGTTGTTTTCCATCTGTAATATCTGCTGCTGTGGTGATGCTGGGGCTATTGCATGTCAGCAGGTTTTACAGTAGATGGATTCTGTTTCAAAATAATCACTTGCACGTGGCCTTTTTCCTCGATGCTAACAGCACTTTAGCTCTGTGATGGAAAGGCTGATGAAGTGGAATTTAGAATGTGTCCAGCAGTACCTCTGGAGCTGCTGTCTGGCCCTGGGTGAGCTGCTGGGCGTTTTGGGAGAGCCAAAAAAAACAATTTGAAAATAATGGTAGAGATCAGGTCATAGCCCCTCATCTTGATGCTTAACTTTCACTCTGTTCTAACAGAAAGAGCCAGGCTTAGTTGGCCGCAAACTTTGCATTGTACAGCACTGTTTCTTTCTCCTCAGAAAGTTCTTCCATCTCTTCTGAGAGCAACCATAAAGGCCTACCAAGTATTCCCAGTGCATTTTAAAATAATTTATTTCTGTTAAAAGACTTCAAGCAGTTCATAGTAAATCATTTTTAAAACCTATCGAGCTCTTTACTCTTTATGCTGATTTCTTATTTACACTGTTCATTCCATTCCCTTTCTGTCCAGATTGTGGTCAGCTTTGAGAGTCCCATAACAAGCAATACTACTATAAGCCCCTGATTTTCTTTTGCCTTCAAACAGTGCTGCAATGCTAAGAAAGGGGTGTGTGGGTCAGGTGTCTTTTTCAAGCAGTTACTACAAGGCTGTTTTCCACTTAAATATTTATATTATCGTTATAGTGTTTTTTAAACCATTTTTGTATGTTGTTTCTTTTTAATGAAAAAGATTTCAGTAGGAAAGGATGAGAGAAAATGCAGTTCTTTGTGTATTTGACTCCAAAGCAGAGCACAAAGGAGTATTTTTCTTGATGGCAGAGGCTAAATTATGTAATTTCCTGCCATGTAGCCATATCTGTGCAAACAAAGGCTATAAAGTCTTGGATTTAACATGGCTCTTGCAAAGAGCAAAATAAAGTGGTGTGATCTAACTAGCTGTAATCCTTTTAGCATTCATACTGCAGGGCTCTGGGAGATGCATTGGATTCATTTGATTTTGAAAGGGAATCTAGCCACACTTGGTCAGACCACTTCAAGTGTGAAACATGAACTTCACGTTTTTTGTTTTTTTCTTACTTAACCATTTGCTTATTTAAATGCATTAATACAGGAAAGGCCAACTTTTCCACATAGCAACCACATGCATTTCTAAACCTTAATTTTGTGCTCAACACAAGATTCTGCAGAAAATGCCATGTATTTGAGGGCGATAACTATAAGCCTTCCAGGCTGAACAATGCAGTGAATATACAGTGACTTAAATTTGGTGCATTTCTGCAGCATGGCTGTAGGTGCAGCAGTCATCAGCACAGAACCCAGAGTCATCTAGCAAATCATACAGATGGAAAAATTTTTCAAAGGCACAAAAAGGAAATTAAAGCTCAACTTTCAATGATTTGAAGGAAATTTGTGTGCTTAGTCCTTGGTTTTTTTTTTCTTTATCTCTAAAATAGGAATATTTTACCTCTCTGACAACAAAACTAAACATCAATTACTGCAAGCAGAGCAGAGATGTAAATAACCTGGAATTCTTTTGAAATTTGACCTGTTAGAACACCCCAATAGCAGACTACAGGAAAATGGTGTTTTCAATAAAGCTCAGCTTCTGCAAGTCCAATGCAGGAGTTGTGAAAATCACAGTGTGCAACAGAGTTGGAAAATTGTCTGCCCAAATGCTTTGGAGAGTGCACCACTTGGCTGCTCTCAGCTTATTTCTATCTGCCCAGGCTGGGAAACTCTTGAATATATGCTAACTTAAATACACAAAGGCTCAGATGCATGGTGGAACATGGAAATATGCTATTGCCTCGGCTTGTCTCCAAACTGGTACACAAACCACAGCAATTGCAGAGCACAAAAGGAAAAGTGGATAGAAACTGGTTTCTTGACATGAATTCACATCCTCTGAGAAATACTCACACTGTGGTAATCTGATTAATAAATTTGTGGTCTTATACTGACATATGAAACTCTTCCTAATCATCATAGGAACTACAGTACAAAGGAACCACAGCGCAAAGGAATTTAGATCAAGCTGCCTCGCTCTTCTCCAGAGCAGTCTGTTATTTGGGCCTCAGACCACTGGTCTGTTCTCCTTGGGCCTCAGAGCAGCAGTGCCAGCTTGCACTGACCCTCTCAGCTGTTTGCGTACACCTACGTGTGGGGCAGCGCCAGGAACTGATCCAGAAAGTACAAAATGAAAGGTGCTGTGAAAGCAGGAATAGCCTGCCCCCGTACTGCAATGGGATACAGACCTTCCTCCTGCCCTGGAGCCTGTCTCACTCTGGAATCTACTTGTAACTCTGCCTGGATTAATTCTCATCACTCACCTCATTATAATCTGATATATAATCTGCATGTATAAGCATCTGCTTTAGTGAAGCTGTACAGAATATATCAAGAGGAAAGGAGAATGGAAATGATCCAGGCTTTCCTCCAAATTCTGTCCCTGAGTCAGTGTAATGACCTTGAGCAAATCGCTTTGGCCGATATTTTCTAGTCCCTGTTTAGACACCAAGATAAATAACCTGATTTTTGAAGGTACCAGCCAACCACAGCTTCTATCAACAAAATTCTAATCACCAGTAGACTTAAGTTCTGTACATAGACTATATTAGTTAAATGAACAATATAGCTCTTGTCATCTGCTACAGGGGAGGAAAATTCTCCAGTGGTCCATAGATCAGCAGTGTGTTTAAGATCAGCTCTTGCAGTGAAGACATGACTTTCTGTTTTTACAGAGCTTGGACACACGCTCATGAAGCAATGTTATACATGTCATATTTCCATCGCTGGAATGGGTGTCAAGGAATACCTTTATACCCTTTGCATACATTTGAAAGGAGAAAAACAGAAAATAATAATAATTTTTTTAAAAGATTAGGGGAAATAAAATCATCACAAAAAAGGAGCTGTAAGAAAGAATGAATGGGGGGAGGCTGCAACCCACGCCTCCCAGACAAGCTCTGCTCAAGCCAGGCCCTGGCTGCAGGATCATTCTATATGGATGTAGCCCTAGTGCCCTTGCTCATGGTTGTTTGTCACTGCAACAGCTTCACGGCTTCCTGCTTAAGACACTTGGCATCCTGTCACCAATTGACTCTGCACACTTGCACGTGACCCCCTGCATGGGCTCACCACGATCATCCTGCTGCCAATAGTGCCCCCCACGCTCAAACACCATGGCACGGATGTGCAAAGGGGCTGAGCCGCTGCTGCAATGCCAAGTGTGATGGGGTCTTCCTGTGCTCTTTGCAAAACCAAGCCCTTAAATTAACAGATCAGACCTAATGGCTGCTTCACACAAATCTACAGAGACAATTGTTGGTGCATACTCCCAGGCAGGACAAAGGTGCTGTGAAATGTAATTCTTTGTTCAGTTATTCAGATTGCTTTGAGTTAGCAAATGAAATCAGAGCTCTTTGATTGGCTGTATTCGAATTTATTTTTGCTCATATTTAAATCCAGGAGTTGGAAGGGGAAATTTTTTTGCCCAAGGAAAATAAAGATCATATCATTTTAAAAGTCTTTTCAAAAATTATGTAATCCAGATTTTCATTTAAGTATATTATTACTTTGAAAACATACTTTTTTTCAATAATGACTATCTATATTAACTGAATTATATATATATATATATACTGAATTATATATATATATATTAACTGAATATCTATATTAACTGAAGCTTTTGAGAACTTGAAAATGTAGTAAAAGACATTTCTAAATGGCCAAGCCGTGTGCTTGATGCTGACTTTTAGGGCAAGCCAGGCCAGTGAACAAGGTCAGGATGATGGCCTTGAAGCCCACTTCCTCAGGATGGAAGCCACAGACTGCAGATATAGAGTGGATGAAGCAGACTGACCAGTTTAATGACCAGCTTGCTCAAACTAAACTGATTAGTTTAAAAAATAAAAACCAAAAAAAAAAAAGGAAAATGATCATCTGTTCTCATTAAAAACAGAATTTAAGAGGTTGGTTGACAAGATAGTCTGTTTAAGCCCATCTTGGTGATACAGGTCTCAGCCCTCCAATAGGTGAAGCTGTGCATCTCCTGGAGCGTTGTGTGGTTCCTGTGTAAGCAACTGCCCAGCTTTCTGCTCAAGGAAAAGAATGCAAATGTCTGCTCAGGTCTCACCCCAGTGCTGTTGCAACTTTGTGTGGTCAGGACAGCTGCTGAGCTCAGAGGCAAGAACACTGGAGCACCTGGCAGAAGCTAACATACATTGTGTCCAGGAAAAGCAAGGCATTAGGAGCCATAAATGGCTCGTAGTGTTACGCTGGGGATAAATACCCCAGCCTTCTGTTTCACCTAAATCAAACACCGGGCCAGGTGCAGTCCACTTCAGCGGAAAAGACCAGGTTGTGACAGATGGTTTCTCCATTCTCCTCTCTCCCTTGGAGCCACCTTAATTACAGATAGTGCTACCCTACCTATGCATTAAATCCCTTCAGACAAATTAACAGGGCCAATACATGGATAGGCATTAACATAATATGTATAGTCATAACACAATGACGTCATCTATATTTCAGGCTGCCTCATCCTATTTTTATACCAAAATGTGTCACATCAACAGTAGTTTCATTTCCACATGCTAATAATGAACCTAAACTTCCTATATATCAGCAAAAGATTATCCACAGCTACACCTATCCACAGAACAAAGGTTTTAATCTTATGCTGCACTCAGGTGAGCGATGGGGAATTCCATGCATTGTCCTTGGGCAATCATAGGTGTGTCTTAGTCCAGACAGGGCTACGGCAAGGTTGGGCAGATGGCATGGCTGGGGCTGGCAGTGTTCCCAGCTGAGGTATCATTACAGAAGTCCAGGAACACTCCCAGAGACTCCTACTTACACGTGATCAGGATGATCAAAAACAATGAGCTCAATGCACAGAATAGGGACAATACCTCACTGTTTAATAAATCCATTTTTAATGAGAAAAAAAAAAAAACCAAAACATTTTAATCAGAATACTTTTTTTCCCCATACATTTCTCATGGACTTTTCAGTATTGCTGCTTCAGATTGCAGTTACTTGACTATTTCAACACCATTCCAGCTTTCATGCAAATATAACTTGACAAAGATCATGAGAAAAATGAATATGCTCAACTATCAACATGACAGCACACTTACCAAGGCACATTTCTATCATATATTGCTATATCTATTTAGTTAAATATTTTGTATAATAGTGAATTCTATTTATTAGTAAAAATACAATCAACCCTTAACACAAGGCTGTCTTTACCTAGAAAAACAACTATCTTTGAAAGAGAAGCAGCACTAAGGATAAAAAGAGGAGAAATCAAGTATAAGTAAGTTTGTTAACTTGAATTTGCTTATTTGTATTATGATTAAAGTTCACTTAAATTCGTCTCTCTCTGTCTAAATTTTTCTGTTTTTATTGTGCACATATAAATGCTCAGGGTTTCAGAGGAAAACTCCATAATGCCCAACCCAAATCCTTTGGTATATTGAGGCTTGTAAACAGATTGCAAGATGAAAGCAAAGATTAAAAGGTAGCAATGAGCTGCAAGGCTAGAAACCTGAATTAAACCCATTAAGATAGATTTGAATAAGTAAATAGGTAAGAAACAGCAAGCTGGGCTGCTGGGTTTCTTCTGAGAGAGCAGAAGCTGTAACCCTGTGAAGAGCTGCCACGCATGGTAAAGCATCAGGCCACTTCATACTCATGGCCCAGAGACTATTGATGTCTTGTTGAAAGTTCACCCATCAAGGGAAACCCTGCTGTGATAAATCAAACAGAAAGTGACAGCTCTGCTCTTCAGCCATAAGGACATTTAACAAAATACCTTTGTCTTACTCAGGCAAAGCAAGAGTAAGTGTAAATACCCTGCACACTTGTTCAATTCAGTGCTGAAGAGCTGTGAAGGGGTTATGGAGAGTGGGAAATACAACAA